CCTCGGTCTAACACNTAATCAAAAGTGGGGTGCTCACGCCGTTTGGCAGGCGCCCGAAATTGGACTTGGAATTTCCGAAGCTCGACGCATCCTCGGTCTAACACGTCGGCGCGCTGCGAAAAATCGAAATTGCCAGCCGCCCGCCCGCCAGCCCAGCGAGAAAATTCGAAATCCCCGCTGGCTCGTCCAGCCAGCCCCCGCCAACCAGCCAACTTGGAATTTCGAAATTCGCCTGGCCCAGCCAAATGGCCCGCTCGCTCGCTCGCCTCACTCACCCAGCCAATTTGGAAATTCAAAATTCTCACTGGCTCGCTCGCTCGCCCTGCCAACGTGTGTGTGTGTGCCCCTTTGGAAATTCGAAATTCTCACCCGCCAGCCAGCCAACTCGCTCGCTCGCCCAGCCAACTTGGAAATTCAAAATTCTCGCTCACCAGCCAACGGGCGAGCCTGCCGCTTGGAAATTCTCGCTCGCCCACCCACTGCGCGTGCCTGCCACTTGGAATTTTGAAATTCTGGCTCGCTGACCACCCCTCCGCTGCCTCGAAATTCTTTCTCCCCTGTGCTAGCTCTGCCAATTCGCATCCAATCTCGATGCACCCTTAATGAAAAAGGTGCGTCTGAGTCTGGCCGACCTGAATTCGCAGAGACCTGTGCAAGGTTGTGACTGCTCGCCGCTCTGACAGGGAAAATGCACCTCAAATTCGCTCTCGCTGATCATCGGGTCTGTGGATCTCGATTGTGGCTCGATCAATGATGCACGCCGATGGGCGGGCGATGCAATCGCGATTTCTTTGCCCACCTTTCATGTGGGGTTTGCTCGCTGATTTTTCTGGAAATTGATTCACTCGCTGCTCACCCTGAGTTGGCGTGTGTGGCAGACTGTGCTTTTCGCAGCGAAATGGGAAAAAGAGCACGCGTTAATTGGGGACGCGAAAATGGCTGCCTGCCTGCGCGCCGCGTCTGTGCGCCCACCCTTTCATCTCGATCTCACGGGGGTCAGNGGAAAAAGAGCACGCGTTAATTGGGGACGCGAAAATGGCTGCCTGCCTGCGCGCCGCGTCTGTGCGCCCACCCTTTCATCTCGATCTCACGGGGGTCAGCGTCAGCGTGTGTGCAGTGTTTCACGGCCTCACACAGTCTGCACAGTCGATGATGGGCGCTGCCGATCTGTCAATGAATCGCGATTGCATAGTAGAGACAGGGAGGCAGCGAGGCGGAGGCAAGGCGAGGCGAGGCGAGGCTCTGAAAAAAAAAAAAAAAAGAAAAGAAAAAAAGCTGGCTGGCTGGCAAGCGAGCTGGCGAAAATTCCCTAAGTGGCCGTCGAGCCAGCTAGAAAATCAATTCCAGCCTCGAGCCGCGAGCAAGCGAGCCAGACTCTCACCTTTGAGAAATTCGAGCCGTGAGCCAGCCAGCCCAGTTTCAAAATCGCAGCTGGCTCGCCCAGCCAGGAAATTAATTCGAGCGAGCGAGCCAGACCCTCTGGCCTTTGAGAATTTCGAGCCGCGAGCCAGCCCGCCCGCCAATTTTGAAAATTCCGACTCGCTCGCCCAGCCAGAAAAATTAATTCGCAGGCCGGCTCGCTCGCTCGCTCGACTCTACAGTAGCCTTTCGAATTTGGGCAGAGTCGCTGGCTCACTCACTCACTCACTCGATCAAAATTAATTCGAAGGCCCTCCCTCGCCTTTTTGAATTTTGGCCGCCCGCCTGCCAATGTCTGTGGGCCTTTTGAAAAT